TGTTCTCAGGCAGCTCCAAAATTGTAATAGTTTAGGAAGAACATAAACCTGTTCAAGTGTGGACGGAATTGCGGATAGGAAACTCCCCCGGAATGAGCAGGTAACACTGAAGCTGGCTGGATGCTGAAGATGATGGAAGCCCCCATGGAATGATGTCAGGCACAAACCCCTCCAGTCTACCTCCTGTTAAAGGCTTGTTACCTCAAATAGATTGTTTTCCCTTTCCCTCCCAACCTGCACCAAATTCTCAGCATTGAAGTAGCTTCCTTGAATTAGAACTGTGGTTCTCAAACTTTAGCTTGCATCAGAATTACTTAGAGAGCTTGTTAAAACAAATATTGTTGGTCCCCAACCCCAAAGTTGCTGGTTCAGTAGGTCCATGGTGGAGCCCCAGAAATTGCATTTCTAAGAAGTTCCCAGGCGTTGTTCATGCTGTTGGCGCTGGGACCACACTTTGAGAACCTGTGAGTTAGGGTATTACGCGCACAATGGTTAAAATGCAAATATCTTAGAAGTAGCACACTAAATGTTAACTGACACATAATATAGTAGAATGTGATATGTGCTTAAGCTGATCCTGAATTAATAATTACTGTTTATGAAGCCCATATTATGGGCCTGTCATGTGTCTAACAATTTACATCTCATTTAATCCTTATAACATCTTATGAGGTGATTATTTATTGCAATTTTCAGATGAGAAAACCTAGGCTTAGAGAGAATTGAAGAAACTTTCCTAAGGGCAAGTGATAGGAGCAGGATTTGAACCCAGATCTGTCTCTTAAAAAATCGATTCATGCTGTTGAAAAAAGCTTTAGGATAATCCAAGAGTGAAGAAAGACCAAATGTCTTAAACCAACAAGATTCCCAAGGCTGCCCTTAGCATATCAGGAGGCCCCTTGTCAGTCAGGGACCTAATTTGACTGGTCCTGTGTACAGGGAGGAGAAATGCTAAAACTGGAGAGAGCAATTTAGAATTTCTCCCTAGATATGATGGATTCTGTAGAGGCCCTCAAATGACCCAGCTAATTCTTATATTTCAGGGTCTTGCAGGGTTTCTACAAAGATTTACTTAAAGAGAGAGGCAGATTTCAGGCTGGAGACTTGAATCTTGCTAAGGAAGGGAGGATGGATGATTAGGGCAGCGCAGGAGAACAGGTGAAGGGGAGAGCAGTGACCTAGAGCAGTGCTTCTCAAACTTCTCAAATATCAGAAACAACTGGAAACCTGATAGAACTGGAAAGGCCCTATTCCACTTCAACAGGCCTGGACCTCTACATTCTCTCTTAGCTCTCCGTGAGATTCTTATACACACCAAAGCCTGGGAACCACGACCGTCGCAGAGTTTCCCTAACAGATACGCACGTGAATCACCTGGGGATTTAGTACATCAGGGTGGAGACTGAGATTGTGCATTTTGAACAAGCTTTCTGGTGACGCCATAAGTAGCATGATCTAAGAGTGATGGTTTGCAAGCATCTTTTTGTCAGAGCCTTGCAATTCTTTCTTTAACAAAATCTTAGGGAAGGCCAGTATATAATTCAAGACTCCTCTCCCACTAGGAGCCCCCAACGTGCTTTGGCCGACCTAGGGCTGTGTACATTTCACTGAAGATTTGGGCTTATGGTCATTAGTAGTTTGGGAGTTTTTTTAAAGTTGTTTTTTAGAATTTAGAAGTTTCCTCCCAGCTTGTTTTTCAAGCCAAGTCTGTTGCTCTGTAGTCACTGGAAACAGAAACCCTTTAAAAATTCATAGGGATTGTGCTTATTTCAGACCTGCAGGTGAAGCAAGAATTGGAAAGCATGTGTCCTGCTGTGCTCCAAGAAGCAGTGGTCTGGGAGAGGAAATAGCAATGGAGATGGCCCCCAGAGCCAACCCTGCCAGCGGAAGAAAGTGTTGGGAGGGGAGCTGGCCCAAACTGGAGGCTGTGCAGTGGGGTTTACGGGGAGTAAGGCTTCATTTCCACTTACAACCTCTGAGGTCAGCCATGTCTGACTGGGCAGGTGTGTGCGTGCGCACATTTACGTGTACTGTCTATAGTTTGGGGTTGATAGTATCCTTGGGGTTTTACCTAAGGCCCTAACCCAAGCCAGCCCCTATGAGAGTGTGGCAAGCATTTCTCATAAAGCATAATAACACATGCTAGTTACTGGATCAGCACACACAACTTGGTGTGCTCTTCTCTGCAGCGGCTCGAGTAGCTTACATGGGCACCCAGTATAGCCCAGGTGGGATCAGCCCTGAACACACCTGAAGAGGCAGTGAGGGTTCTCTTCATTTCAATTCCCCTTTCACTACCCCATTTCCTCCACTGGGCATATCCATCCATGCAAACCAGAAGCAGACATCCTAGCATTTGCCTTCCTGACTAATTGAAGAGTTGGCTTTGATCCTGACTTCATTGTCACCCTAAAATGCAACTACAAAATTCCCTTCTATTTTATCCATGAGAAAAATAACTTACCCATTCCAAGTGTACTTCCAGAGCAGGTTACTGTAATAAATAAAAACATAGCATTTGAAATATATTTATTGACATATTTAAGATAGCAAAGATAAAACTTAAGAGAGAATAAAGGGAAGGTAAACCAAAGCATGACTAAGAACCAGTTTGGGTGATAGGAGAAGGAGATAACTACTAGCAATATGACCTTGGGCAAGTCACTTCACTTTTCTGTGCTTCAGTTTATCTGTGAAGCGATAAGAATAAGAATGTCAACCTCAGAGATTTGTTATAAGGATCAGTTGGCATTAATAGAAATATAAAGCCCTTATATAAGGTGGTCGGAAAAGTCATGACGCATGTTTGCAACAGATAGGACTAGTTCATTTTTGGAAGTGTTAGAGTCATTCGTATCTATGTTATTGCTATGTCATTTGACAGCTGACAGTTCTAGCTTCATTCAAAAAAAATTGAGCGATTTGGTTGAGTTTTGGAGATTTTACAAGTTGAAGATGGAAGACCAAACCGTGCATTTTTGCCATATTTTACTGTTTTGCTTCCATAAAGGGAAGAACGCGCATCAAGCTTGTGAAAAGTTGCATAAAGTTTACGGTGACAATGTTCTACAAGAACATCATTGCCAACGATGGTTCATGAAATTCCGTGCTGGTGATTTTTATCTCAATGATGCTCCTCGGTCAGGGAGGCCCACCGAGGTTGATGACGACAAAATAAAGGCATTGATCAAGTCAAACCCACATTACACGACATGAGAGATTGCAGAAACATTGAACACTCATCATTCAAGAATTCAAGACCACCTGAAGAAGCTGGGATACTAAGCAAGCTCGATATTTAGGTTCCACATGAACTCAAAGAAGTTCATTTGATGGCACGTATAAACATTGCAATATGCTCATTACATGTGAGGAAAACTATCTTTTTTTGAAGCGACTGATATCTGGTGATGAGAAGTGGATTATTTACAACAATGTGGTGTGCAAACAGTCTTGGTCCCGACATGATGATTCGCCTCAAACAACATTGAAAACAGACATTCATCAGAGGAAGGTTATGCTCTCAGTGTGGTGGGATTTTAAAGGTGTCGTGTTTTTCGAGCTCCTACCAAGCAACCAAACAATCAATTCGAATGTGTCCTGTTGGCAATTGGACAGTTTGAACGAATCCATCATCCAGAAACGTCCAGAGCTTATTAATTGTAAAGAAGTTATGTTCCATCGCGACAACACGAGACCACACATAAGTCTGATCACCCGTCAAAAATTATTGGAACTTGGATGGGATGTGTTGCCACACCCACCATACTTGCCTGACCTTGCACCCTCAGACTTCCACTTGTTTTGCTCTCTTCAAAACTCCTTGCATGGTATAACGTTCAATTCAGATGAGGCTGTAAATCAGGACCTTGTTCAGTTTTTTGCAAATAAAGACAGGTCCTTCTATGAACGAGGAATTATGAAGCTCACTGAAAGATGGCAAAAAGTTATCGAACAAAACAGACAATATATCATTGATTGATCTTAATTCTTTATATAAATACATGACCTTTCAAAAACAGACAAAATACATCATGACTTTTCCGACAACCCAATAATAGTGGCTGGCACATATCACCAAAAAATATTAGTTATTATTATTATTATTATTAACAATATTGTCCTAATTATCAGAGTAAGGCATCGCTGACACTGAAAATAGAAACAAAAACCCAAAAAACAAAAATTTCCCCCAAATGCATAGTTTTTTCCAGGGAAACTGAGCAAAAGTGGATTCCCTAACTTGAATCTAGACACCCAATCCTTGGCTGCAGGCTTGAGGTGGCACACACCAAACCGTATTAGAGTTCTAACTAATAAGGATTTGTGGTGGCCAACAAACCAGTAGAGGAATGGCTCTGTAAGGCTGAACTGTAGGCCGAGGGCAGCAGAAAGAGCACTCACTTGGTACTGGCTATATGATCACAGGAAAGCATGTAAACTCACTGACTCATTCTTTTTCTAATTTAAAATCCATTGGGCAATGGTTATGTGCTAAATACTAACAGTCTGAGAAATTATCATTTGTTAGGGGAAATAACACACAATTGACTCAGTAATATGGCGCAATAATGATAAGGGCAAGGTGGGGTCATAACCTCGCAGGACGTCCATAACAGGACGGAGGGAGAAGACTAACTCTGCTTATGGGAATGGACGATTTCACAGAGGAGGGGACATTTGAGCTGGTAGAGTTTCCTTGGTGGAGGTGTGGTGGCATACCCAGCAAAGAGAAGGGCATTGCTTTAGCTTGGAAGCATGATGTGGCATGGTATGTGTGTGTGGCTAGGGCAGGTGTGTGTGAATGATTCCCTGTGACCAAAGAATAGAGTCCTCTCAGCAGGGATGCAGTAGACAGAGTCTGGAATTGCATTGTGCAATACAGTAGCTGCTCCAAATGTAGCTGGTCTGAACTTAGGTAGGCTGAGGGTTAAATGCGCACCAGATTTTGAAGACTTAGTATGGGGAAAAAATGCAAAATGTTTATATTGATTCCATGTTGAAATGATAATATTTTGGAGATACTGGGTTAACTAAAATACATTATTAAATTAATTTCACTTATTTCTTTTTACTTTTTAATGTGGCTACTAGAAAATTTAAATTTTTCCTATGTGGCTTTTATGGTGTATGTATAAAAAGACAGACTGGGGACAGATTGTGAGGGACCTTGATTGAATGCCATGCTGAGGACTGAATTTTATCCTATGATGCAACAGAAAATTTTTGAGGATTTTGAAGCATGAAAGTAATATAATCAGATAAATGTCCTGGAATGACAACTCCTGTAATAGTATGGAGGCTGGCATGAGGGCAGGAGGACATGAGCTGCAGTAGTATAATAAGGAAAAGGCAGTGAAAGCTGAAGTGTAGAAGTAGCGGCAGGAATGAATAGAAGAAGTTGGATTTAGAAGCCATAGTGTAGTGAACAGGACAGGACTTGGAGGCTACTTAGATATAAAGGGTGAGGGAGAGGGAAGCTGACTCCAGGGTTTTCAGCTTGTGTACCTGAAACTAGGATGATGGGAGGAAGATCAGAAAGTGCAGAAGATCAGAAGTTCCTTTTGACCCTGAGGAGCTGAAATGCCTGGGGTACCTCCAGGTGGAGGTATCAAGTGTGAATATGGATTTAGAGGTTACGAAGAAGAAAAGGGATTTAGACAGAGATTTGGGTGCCTCTGAATCTCAGTTTTTTCTCATTTATAAACTGAAGATAATAAAATCTGCTGAACCTACCTTATAGGGCTATTTGGAGCAGTCAATGAAATATTGAATGTGAAAACACTTGATGAATTGTAAAACATTATGCAAATATAATGAAGTATTGTTATGAGCTGTAGGCTCCTCTCCCTAAGAGCTCATCCTCACTCCACAGCCTATTCCTGTCCCCTCCCACAGAGCCATGCTTCGCACCAGCTTGTCCTGTGGACAAGATAATGAAAACACAAGGAATCAGAGCATGACAGCCAAGGACAGAGGAAACACCCCCTGAAGAGGAACTGGCCCGGTTCCAGCACCAGCCATCTTGGACCTTCTTGTCACCTGCACATAATTGGAAATTTTAGATTCTGGTTATCAGTAAAGATTTCTGCACCAATATTTATTCCTCTTCCCGTGTTCACCTGCAAAGTTCTAGGGCTTCATCATCTCATTCTTTCTATTTTTTATTTTTTAATTTTTTTAGAAGTATATGAAAAATATATGACTATGCCCTGGGCAAGGTAGCAGAAGGTGCTGGAATACAGAGCAGGAGAATTGCTAATGCTTTTCTGCCAGCTCTGATGAGCTGGCGGTTGCTGACGGTCATGTTTTGTGATCACAAACTGTTCTGCCTACTCATATTTCCAAACCCAGGTTATGATTTATAAATTCATTTTTCTTTCTGATCTTCCAACACTTCCTCAGTCATAAGTCTGAATCTGTGCACATAAAAGTTCAAGAATCTTAATTTCCAACATTCCAGGGTATCTATTATTATCTCTAAGATTATGTTAAAAACCTATCTCCAAATCTCAAAGCAGAAAATAATTTTACATCTGCTTTACTATTTAAGCAGCAAGCATCTGGTGCTTTTTCTGAAGGAGAAGAGAGGGAGAGGGAAGACAGAGTATCTCCAAATCAAATTATAATAAAGCATCACAATTCCAAAAAAGCTTGGAGTCCCCAGGAGCCAGAATCTGACTGCAGGATGTAGTAGCAATGTCACACCCTCTTTGACCTTCCCACATAGCAAATAAGTGTGAGTGTTCTGAGTCTTAATTCACAGACTGAATTGAGGATTCGTTTTAAATAATGGGTCATAACTTGCTGTACCTGAATATATTTTTTTGGGACAGAAAGTCAGCTTCAGCCCTGTCTCAGCAACTGGTGAGACCATCACAGTATATACGTCCCCGCAAGGTATCTCGGTGACATCACAGAAACTGAAGCCAGCGCTTGGGGCACATGTGAAAATGCCTTTGGAACCATAGAGGTCGGTGCTGTAATTGGCAGAGCCCCTGGTGGCTTGCCAGTAGATTCGAATGCCATTAGGGCCCAGCCTATATAATTTCACTCCCAAAGGGCAGCAAGCACCTGAAGGATAAAAACAGGCAAACAAAGATTGCTTATTCCCCCATCACACAAACATGGCCTTTATTACTATGGGGAAACAATATAAGTAACCCAGTCTAAAGATATATGATTAGAACAAGATTTGAAGAGGTACCCAGTAGTTCTTTCCCAGTAGTGGTGGGCAACATGATTAGAGATCCGTGTGTGTGTGTGTGTGTGTGTGTGTTGGGGGGGAGGTGCATGAATCTTTAGTAGAGAACAATCAATGGTGAGTCAAAAAGCCCCCACTCAGTAGATAGGTGGTGTATATGACTCAAACCTTCTGAGTCAAATGCACAGAATCCTTGTCAAAATCCTTCATAATGCCCTAGTTTCATGTGATTTTTAGTGGGATTGAATTTGAATAAATTTAACTACTTTCAGGCTTAATTGAAGAGACCTATTTTGATGAACTGAGTAGCATAACCCCTGGGGAGCAGTCAGTTAGTTACACAGCAGGCAGATGAGCAAGCTTTGCTGGTCGACACCTTCCCCATGCTAGCTGAGTAGGTACTTTTTTTTTTCTTTTCTAAACACCTCAAATAGTTAACACATTAGGTGTCAAGCAGAGCACCAAGTGGTGGATTCCTTGGTAATGAAAATGAAGATGTTATTTTACAATAATAATAAAAAAATTCAGTTATAATCAGGCTCATTTGACTTGTTCTTTTTTTAAAAAAAGTGGGGGAGGCTAGGTGTGAAGATAATCAATGGGCCATATTCCCAGAACTGGATCTCAATCAAGGTGAGAACTTAGGCAGCAAATCTAATGAAAGCTATTGGGCCAAACGAAAGTATACACCAGCTTACATATGTGCAGCGCTTATAAATGCTTTCACATTATGATTATTACTATTTCTCTTACCAGTGAGGAAATGGAATCAGGGACGATAAGGCAACACAGCTTAGAAGAAGCCATGTTTTTAGACTCCTAGTTGAAGATCCTTTCAACTCTCCCATCTCATGCTTCGTGGCAGACACCATTAACTGGTCATTTAACTTTAGCATTAAGCCTGAGAGGCAGCTTCCATTTTTTGTTGTTGTTTTTTTCAAAACAGTGCCTCAAGCAGCCACTTCAGTGGACTAGTCGTACAAGAGAAATCGGATTTGCTAACCCTGGACCACTTCTGCCTTCCCTGCTACTCCCTGATGGTTTGGTCTTTGTGGAAATCAAGTCACAACAGTGTCAGTAAACAGTGCTCTTTTAATCTGTTGAAATAAGAAACCATGGAAGGAACTGGAGTGGTTTAACAGGTAACAGCACAATAATAATGAGAAGAAAAAATTCAAGTCAAATAGGATGTGTGAACCAAACGCTTTCTGAAAACGCTGTCAGGCTGAGCTAGTCTGTGTTGCAGATGTTGTGTCATAGAAAATTCTGTCCTCCCTTTAGAAAAAATGTGCCCATACCTTATTATCAGGGGAGTCAATGCCCCAACTACCAACAGGAGCCTCTGAAGCTTTGAGATGCTGGGTCAAGAGGAAAACTGTAAACATTTTAGAAAGTAATATGAATTTATAATGCAAGATGGTGGAGGTGCAGCATCTTTTTAAATGAGAAGGAAGAGCTAATGTCTGGATTTAGAAGAGTGAAGGTCCTTATTGATACCCTAAAGCTAGAGTTCAGCATTCACTTACTAGAGAAATAACTTGGGTAGGCGCAGTCCGCAGTCAGCCCAGTGGCACTAATTGCTTTTAACACCGCTGTGTAATTGACGCCACATGTGATGCATCCCAGCAGGCAGTGGTTTTGATGGGTGTGACACTTAGACTGTCCCGTGCGTGACTCCAGAGCTGTCATATAGGTTTGGGCCCCGGTCCCAACAGTCCAGCTCACGTTGACTACTGATTGGGTGACCTGAGTTACTGTCAGACTGCCTGGACAGCACGGCACTTAAATGAGGAAGAAGAGAAAGAATTGGGGATTTTTTTCCACTGAGGGTTACTTGTGAAAAACAACCAAGAATGGCTTTTTGCTTGTGTTTCATTCAAGACCCTAAATTTATCAAACCTTTGATTGTTAATCAAAATTTCCTTTGAAATTTCCTTTGAAATTCCTTTTGTTAAGCAAAATCTCATTTCTTCTTATACATCATCTAACATCAACTGTATATACAGTGGGTGCTTTCCCCAAGAACGCTAACTGACTGGGTAATGTGAGGTAGAATAAGAGAGAAGTCCTTTGTTGTCCCCCAACTTTAACAATTCCAGTTGCAAATTTCAAAGCAATGGTTGCATGCACCTCTTCTCCCAATATCACATTCCATAACATTTGCAATTAAATGCATTTTGCCTTTCTCATGCATTCATAGTGCATAATTGACATAAAAGCTTGAAATATTCTTAGCCACCTAAGAACACCACAGTCTTCTTAATTTTTTAGGGACTAAACAGGATATAAGATATATCCTATTAGGATATAGGATATATGATATATAGGATATAGGATATCTAGAATCTTCCTGTGTATTTGGCATTGTCTCTATTCTGCTGCTTTTTATGGTTCAATTTTTATAGTCCATGTGCCATCTATTGTTATATATAAGAAAAAATAATGTCCAAAGGTTTTAATTTCATTCACAATGTTATAAAACAATAACAGCTTTCTTTCATCAAGCTCTCACTATGTACCAGATACTATGTCAAGTGCTTTGCAGAATTAATTAACTTAATAATAACAACCACCAAGGAAGCCATTATCCCCCTTTTACCAATTAGGAACCTGAAACTTCAGAAATCATTGTTTAAAGAAAGACTTGAAAAGTCTGAGCCAAAGAAATAAATAATAAACCAGCTCACTCGGTCACTGGTTGGTTGTTGTGGTAGAATGTGTCACTGGAAAAAATGAATTCCAATAAATGTTCTTGCAGCATCAATGTATTCCCCCTCTGATGTCAGTGTATGAGTATATTAGAGTCTCCTGATGATATACATACAGAACTTGTTTCCAGATATTGAAAATTTTATTCTTTATTCTTTTATTCAGGGCTCTTTGAAATGCCTTTGATTTTAATGTATGAGGTCAGACGATTAAGTTCATGAACTCATCCTAAAAAAAGTGCTACATACCTCATTGCTGAATATCACTATGGTCACCTTCAAAGTACTCCCCTTGGGAAGCTATGCGCTGATGCCAGTGCCTAGTCTACCCTTCAAAGCAATTTTGAAACACTTTTTCTGGAATGGCCATCAGAGCTGTCATTGTATTACCTTTGATGTCCTGAATGTCATCAAAATATCCTTCTTTCAATATTTCCTTTATCTTCAGGTAAAGAAAGAAGTCATTGGGGGCCAGATCAGGTCAGTAGGAAGGGTGTTCCAATACAGTTAGTTGTTTATTGGCTAAAAATTCCCTCACAGACAGTGTCGTGTGAGCTTGTGCATTGTTGTGATGCGAGAGCCATGAATTGTTGGTGAAAAGTTCAGATTGTCTAACATTTTCATGCAGCCTTTTCGGCACTTCCAAATAGTAAACTTGGTTAACTGTTTGTCCAGTTGGTACAAATTCATAACGAATAATCCCTCTGATATCAAAAAAGGTTAGCAACATCATTGCAATAAATTCGTGAACTTAATTGTCAGACCTCTTATTTCTATCACACTTAGGGTAGATCCAATAAGAAAATTCACGTCTCAAAACAATTCCTAAGGACCTCACTGAAGTCATCGTTCAGGCTGGTGATTGCCACATACCTGTTTCCAGGGGCACACTGTAGCTGGGCAGGCTCTGGCCCGCCTGCGTTTCGGCCACCGCGGTGATGGAGAACGCGGAGCCACAGGGCAAGCCCCCCAAGGTACAGGACTCCCCTGTGCTGCTGCACTGGTACAGTCCTGTCTTTCCCCGGGCAGTCACCGTGTAAGTAGCATCATCGTTACTGGATCGCCAGTGCACGTTAATCGTGGAGAAGGCATCCTTTGAAATATTTTTTATTTCAGGACTGCAAGGAGCTAAGAGATTTTAAATTATGAATTGAAGCACTGAGAGTCAAAAATATCACCTGTGCCATTTGGCTTAAAACTGATTTTTTCCCCCAAATCAGATCATTATTACTTACAACTATACCATGGGTGAAGGTCAAATTCATAGAGCCTTTGGGTGGAAACCTTGCTGACGCTGACATATGGTTTTGGGTTCCTAGAGCGTCAAACTAACTGGAAAATGTTAAGAAGCATTTCGAACTCCAAATGCAAAAATAATTAAGATAGATATTTGTGGTCTTCACCTTCATGGTGTGAATATAGGCAGCCCGCCCCCCAAACCCCTAAAGGAAGGAAGAAGTGAATGACTAACAGGCAAAACCTTCTACTCTCCATGGTCTCTCTTTTGTTTTGTTCCTACTTTCCTTCCTCCACCTTCTCTTCTGCCCCTCCTTAGTAAGACAGGGGCTAGAATGGTCCCCACAAAGAGCTGCTAACGGGCATCAGCCTTTTCGTCGCTCTTGCTAAAAGGCCATCCTGAGGGACACAGCTGCGGGGGAACTGTTCAGACATCAGTGAGTGAAATCATGGCTGTCACGTACCTGTGGTTATGAACTGGGACGTACATGACGTATTGCTGCCCCGGACTTCACTGAAGGAATACACTGTGATGTTGTACGTGGTGTCACACTCTAGGGCTGAAAGGGTACAAGCAGGAGCAGTGTCGTTGCACTCAACCATGTTGACTCCATCTACAGCCTTGGTTTCATAAAGCTCAGCACCACGGACAGGAGACCAGACGATCTCTACTCTGTCACTGGACACCAACACAGGGTTAATGTCACTAGGACAACAGGGAGCTGAAAGCAGGAAAAGAGGGAGAATGGGGGTCAGTACAGGAGCAATGCTGTCAGAGGGGACACTGACCTCCCTATAGCCAGAGCCTCTGTCACCGCCCTCCCAAATTACTGTAAGACTCCTATGGGTCTTTCCAGCATTGATTTTGGCCTAACACCCAGTACGTAGAGGATAAATCCTCTAAGCATGACATTCAAGGTCATTACAAGCTGTGCCCAGTCTCCATGGGTCTCCTGCCACACCAGACTCCTCATTTCCCCACCCCACATCATGTGCTTGCATTTGCCTGTGCTGTTCTCCTCTTCTGCTGGCCTACTTAGTCTAACTTCTAGATGAATAAAACATAATCCCTGCCAAGCAGAATATTCAATCCTAGTGGAGAATAATAACAGTAACTGTAAGAAACATACTAATAAAAATATTGGCATTGTGTCTCATCACATACAAAAACCATTTCATATTTATCTTCTCATTGTGATTTGTCCCATTGTGCAGTGGAGGATACTAAGAAACTAGCAAGGTAGAGGTCATTCTCCCCATTTTACAAATGAGTTGGCGGGCAAGTTAGGACTTGAAGCCAGGTGTCCTCTAAAACCCTCCACACTGAGTAGTATCTTTACCTCCCTGTTTTCTGGTCTCGAGGAAAGAGTGAACTCCTGAGGCAGGATTGCATCCCTTCAACACCCAGCCCAGGGCCAAACACCGAGTGGAGGGTTCAGTTTTTCAGAGTGTGGTTCAACAACTACATTCTTTCCCCTTGTTAGGCTTGGGTCCACGAAGCCATAATATCCTATTCTGGGAAGGATGTTCTTTCTGTTCTTGGCCCTAGATGACTCCCAAGAACAATAGGAGATCCATTTTGCTGCTGAGTTCAGTAAACTCAACACTCCCTCTACAAGCATCAAGTGCAACTTACCTGTGGTATAATTGAACACATTGCCCAGAGGACTCTGCCCTGCCTTGTTATAGGCAAAAACACTAATGAAGTAGGTGAAGCCACACTCAGAGAAGAAGTTACACTGAGTGAGGGATGTGTTGCAGTGTACTTCCAAGCCATCGTCACTCTTCACAAAGGCGACATAGTAATCACTCAAATCTACATTGGACCAAGACACAGACAGGTGGCCAGGGGGATCTTCTTGGATTATCACTCTTCCAGGTGCACAAGCAACTAGGAAATGATGAATAATAAACAGTTGTGAGAGATTTTCTTTGCATCTTCCAATTATCCAGGATACCCGATGCTAGGAATACATCACATAGTATGTGCAAACCAACGAGACATTCTCACACGTCCCAAAATGTATCTCACATGATACGGGATAGACTGTGTCAGAAACAGGCATAGATGGCCTTGGTGAATACGGCCTGTGTTTCTGTGTAAAGGCAATGCCAGGATCAGCATGGAGCAAAGTCTTCTGAAGAAATGAATTCAAATGAAGTTTATTCTTTCAAGCTCAAAGCTTTTACAATTTTAGTCACCTGTCACAGAAATCTTCCTAAAATATGTTACACAATTCTGGGCCATCAGAAACACATAGAACGTTCTAAACAAAGTTCCTTTATTGATAAGTCAAGGTAGGTCCCATGATCATGACAGATTGTGTTATACATAAAAACTACAGCTGTGCTTGCTGGGCTGGTAAGTGTGCAGGACTAACTATTTCAATAGCATTTTACCCTGGCTGCACATTAGAATTAACGGAGAAGTTTTGACAAAGTATTCGTACCCAGACTTCATTCCCAGAAACTCTGATTTCTCTGGTCTTAGGTGGGGACTGGGTATCAGGATTTTATAAAAGCTCTCCAGATGCTCTTAATGTGCATCCAAGATTAAAAACACTGGATGATTCGCTCCTACATTAAATGACTAACTTGGAATGGCTGGGCTTCTGAAAATGTATTTCTTACCTGTTCCTTCACTCTCATAATTATTTCGAATATACCATCCACGTTAAGTTACAGTTGTTAAAAAAAGAAGCCAAGGGCCGGCCGAGTGGCGCGTTGGTTAAGAGCTGGCTTGGGATGCCAGAGGGCCCCAGTTCAGATCCCACATATGAGGGCCAGTGTCACTGCCCTCTACAGCTAAGATGCTGAACAACAGCTCAACCTGGAGCTGGGCTGCTGTAAGTCGCCAGCGATGGCGTAGGCTGCAGCCCCTGCTGCAGTGGGTTGCCATGGGCTACCGTGTGTTGCCAGCAGCCAGCGTGAGCGGCCGTCCAGAAGCCAGCGACTGATCTGCCTCACCTGGGTGCGCAATGATGGTGCCAACTTGGGCCAGTGAAACAACGTCCTCCACAACTAGACTGAAGAACAAAAGGACAGCAGCTTGTCTGTTCCCCTTCCCCCAATTCCCCAATAAAAATCTTAAAAATAAATAAAAGAAGCCAAATCACCAAGTTTGTTATCAGTGACCTTAATTTAACATAATTATAAGAAACTGTGGATCTGAGGGGTTGGCTGTGCTTTTTTCCTGTGAAATAGAGTGCATCTGCTTGGTGACGGTTCTTTTCCTCTCAGCTCAGAAGCCTCTTACACATAGAATGATATAATTCTGATGTTTGGACAGAGTGGACATTATTGTAATTATCCACATTTTTTTTTGGCTTTGAGAAGTGAAATCAAGCAAACTTGGGCTTGAATTCTAGCTCTACCACTTATTATCTTTGGGCTTTAGGAAACATTATTTAACTTCTCTGAACTTCAATTTCCCTATTTGAAAAAGGAGATAATAGACCCTGCCTCAATGAGTGGTCATGAAAATTAAATAAAATGATGTATTTATAATGCCTGGGACATACTATGTCTTCACTAAATGTTCGTTCCCATCCCTGAAATACATAGATATTTCTAAATAGAGGAGTAAACCTCCACATATGTATGTCGTTATCTTCTTGATAAGAATGAAAATGATGGGCCGGCCGAGTGGCACGTTGGTTAAGAGCTGGCTTGGGATGCCAGAGGGCCCCGGTTCGGATCCCACATATGAGGGCCAGTGACACTGCCCTCTACAGNCAATAAAATCTTTAAAAAGAATGAAAATGGAAAGGTATCTAAACACATATTCAGAACTACAGACAGCCCATCTTAATCTTACAAACCAGCTCCCACCAAGCCTAGATCTGTGAAACATCATGGAAAAAAGAGGTCACTATCTGTAGTGCACATTTAGAGCTGTGTATAACTCACACTGGATCTTAGAATTTTTACAACTTTACAAATGAAAAAGAAAATCAACTAATTAAGGAAAGATCTGGAATAGGAACAGACTTCCTCATTTTCAAAGTGCTTTTTCCAATGCACTGTGTCTGGTTTCACTATCACCATTATTTAAACTCATCAGAACGTCCAACTAAATGCTTTCATTTGCACCAGGCTATCGTTTTCTCCCTTCTTCCAGAGTGTTCGGGAGCAGTGTCAGGTGACTATTTGTTTCCTGTCTGGCAGTCGCTTTGGCCCACTAGCCCCACGGTGATCTCACTTTTGTTTACATACCAGTTCTCAGGGTCACTGCAGGAGTTGATCTGCTAGTTCCGGCATCATTACTTGCTGACACTGAAATCAAGTACTCAGTTCCGCACTGGAGAGAGGAGATGGTGCAGGAACTGAATGTCGTGCTACAGCTCAGCTTGGAAGAGTCACTTGAAGCCATCACAGTGTAGTTGAAAGCTCCTTCTGTCGGTGCCCAGGAAACAGATGCCTTCAGAGCCCCGCTATCAAAAGACACTTGAATATTGGCAGGAGCACGAGGACCTGCATGTGTGAGAGACAATGAAGACTTTACAGGAGCCTCAAGAACCCAAGTAAGATGTGGCCTAACAAGAGCTTTGATGGAACAATGCCCAGGCACAGATGGCACAGGAGGGAGAAACCACCTTAGGCTGGGAACAGAAAGAAGCATATCCTACAAGTAACTGTTTTCCTAAAGCCTTTCTCTTCATTTGTTTCCCCATGTTTCAAGAAGTTTTAGAGACTTTGGGTTTAGCCTGACTTTGCGAGGGGCTGCTGTAATAAAGTACCACAAACTCAGTGGCTTAAACAACAGAAATGTACTTCACGCGGTCCTGGAGACCAGACGTCTGACATCAAGGCGCTGGCAGGTTTGGTTGCTTCTGAGGAACACGAGAAAGGAACTGTTCCAGGCCTTTCTCCTGCGCTTAGAGATGGTGGTCTTCATGTTCATATAGGATTCTCCCTGTATGCATATGCCTGTGTCCAAATTTCCTCTTTTTATGAGGATATCATAGTGGATAAGCACCCACCCTAATGATCTCGTCTTAACTAATTACATCTGCTACAAAATCAGCATTTCTTTAATGCATGCAGTGAGCATTTAAACTACCATGGAGGAAGAGCCATTACACTATAAACTCATCATCAGTTTAAATAGCTGCTGCCAGCTGCTCTGTGCTCATCACTTAACACGGCTCTTGATGGCTGCAATGCATGGCCCCTCTCATTAATCAAAAAGGAGATCTGGGGATGGAGCTGAGGAGTCTTACTTGTTCTCTGATTGCAGGTGGAGTCATCCCCAGGGGTTCCGTTGGCATTCCACGCATAGGCCTTTATGGTATAGAGAGTCCCGGCATCCAAACTGGTGAATGTCAAGGTGGTGTTGGTGGTATTTTCTTTCCATATTCTACCCAAACCATTGGCTCGCATGATGGACACAGAGAATCCGACGGCCGTATATACAGCTTCCCACTGCACAAGAATAGAGTCTGGACTCGGAGAACGCACTTCTAGAATTGGGGCAGCCAACACTACAAAGACAAACACACGTGCACTATGAAGGTTCAGGAAAGGATAATTCCAATTTAGGAATAAGTAATTTGAGGTTGATTTATCCATATTATAAAATAATTATTTGCTTTGCAAAAGGATTCATGGCAGAGTTCCATAAAAATTGCTATTTAATTGTGTGTGAATTATAATTGTCTCAGCAAGGAATGGGGAACAGAGAAATTCTAATATTAGGCATTACTTTCAAAGGGACATTGGTAAGATAAAACATCCCTGTAATCGTAATAGAAACCAGTGAGGGAAATGATGGTTTAATACTGTTTTACTGTGCACACAACCTTTCAGAAATATGCCTCGGTACAACTTTATGAAAGCAATTTAAGTAATGCTGATGACCAACTCCAAATGTTTTTATTTCAAACACGTCAAAGTGCAGCAAAATCCCTCCTGTGTATTTGTTTTTCAGAATGGTCTCGATGGGTAACTGAGGTTAAAAACAGAAATCTCTTTTTCAGAGGTTTTAAAGCAGGGATGCTTTTAAAGATACCAAGGAATGGCTATTTTCCAAAGCAAAGCATCTGGAAATTAAATACCACCTTCTTCACAGATAACTGAATCCTTCTCCAAAAGTCATTTTACTTCTGGGGAGTCAAGTGACAGAAAATTACATCATGCAACTGCAGCCTCAGTATAACCGATCCAGGTGACAAGCAACGGCTCACAGGTGATGAGCATCCAGCTACCTGTCTTTGCCTGCTTTGGAGGTGATGCCTGGCTTCTCCCAGCGGCACCGATGGATCTAATAGTGATTTGGTACAAGGTGGCA